CTACCACTTTGTTTGTAACTCTGTATTGTCTGTATTGTGCTTGTGATATGTTGTAAAATGTTGTATGTCTGTTAATGTTTCCCTCCTTTTATCTTCAAAATAAAAAAAAAAAAATTCAGACAAGTCTGTCAAAATACAAATCAGCTAGAATAAATTTAAAAAATAAGTCACTAATGAACTCTTTTGGCTTTTTCCCCTCGTCTAGGGATTTGACTGAAGGCCTTCACACTGAGCTATATCCCCAGCCCTTTATTTGTTTGTTTGTTTGTTTGTTCATTCATTTTTCAAATTCAATCTTGCTAAGTCACTAAGTTGTCTGGGCGGTGTTCAAACTTGTGATCTGACCCTCAGTCTCCAGAGTGCTACTGTAGGATTACAAGTGTGTGCCATCACACCCAGCTCCTTCTGGCCAATGTGGATGGCTTCTACACAGTTCTCCTGAAGGGTGCTGATTCTGCTGGGCTTCTCTGTCTTCTGGAAATCTACTGCTGGCCTCTGTGTCATTGCACTTCCCGATCCTCCTCCTTTCTCAGGTGGCCCAGCCCTCTGCTGACCTCTTCTTCTTTCTCTCATGCCAGGACTCTGGACCTCACTCAGGTCCATGCTTAGCTATCCATGCTGGCATCCTGAAGGAGCTCGTTATCTCATTGGCTCAACCATCATCTTGACAAGTCTCAAAACTGTACGTTCTGCTGAAGTTTTCCCTTCCTTACCAATGGACATCTCCATTCTGATGCCTCTACAACACCACTGTGTTCAGTCTCAACTCTCCCTAGCCCCCTTCCCCCATTTCTTTTCAACACTCTGTTTTGGTTGGTGCTAACATCAGTGTGTGGTTTCCGCCAGTGTTCATGCTATCCATTTGTTTTTCTTCTTTTACCCAGTTCACCAACGTTTCCACCGCCCTCAGTATTTTCCTGCCCCTCTGTCACAGCACTGAGGTGGCGATCATGCTGCTCATTCTAAGACTAAACACTTCCCCATTTGTGGTGAACCGAGGCTCAGCCTACCCCACCAACTGTGCTGCTCTCTGGTGCACTTAGGGCAGTTTTCTCCAAGTGTCTGCAACCCAGCTTTATGCATGCTGTAGTCTCCTCTCTTAGTTTTCCGATGCTTCTGCTGTAGAGAAACTGTGCCTCCCCTTCTCCCTATGACCAAGCCTGCAACCTATCCAGAATCCTCCCATCTTACCGGGGTGGGTAAATCTACTCCTTCTGGAGTGCCACACCAGTCAGAAACCATCATTTACATAGAGCCATATAATAAATATTTCTTTTTTACATACCTTGTAAATTATATTACTAAGACAGTTTATCAGATCCTCAAACAATATACAAATAGACAAAAAATACTTGCAAAGTTTGAAATGACATCCCATTTTCCCTTCAGTGCAAGGTTGGGAAAGAGTTTTCACACCAAATTCCATAAAAACTGTTTCAGTTCTTTCCCCTTAGAAGTAGGCTTGGGTCAGTGGCAAAAAATGACCTTGCTTGCTCTGCTTCTGCATAAAATTCTCTGCCCATCCTTCCTCACTGTCCTGCACATGTATTCACATGGACACGCATACACACACACACACACACACACACACACACACAAATGTGTCCTCTGTAACAAGAAGCCTTGATTGATGAAGGAACCCAACTGCAGCCACCCAGCACTAACTACAAAACAGTTTAAGCCTGTCCCATCCCCTTATGCTTCCACATCTGCTGAAGATGTATAATCACCAGTTAATAAGGCCCAAACACCACAGCTTCCCCCCATCACTCCCATTACATGCTTCTGCACTGCTCCTGACAGCCAGCCACCACACCCTGCATTCCTCAAGCCTTATCTCTAGCGGAGAGCCAAGGGTCCTTTTCACTGAACCTTCCCACTCACAGGCGCCCTTTGATGCTCACAACCCTACAAAAGACCTTAAAGCCTGACCAAGAGTCACTGGTCTGGTCTAAGTGCCAGGGTGGTCCCTCTCAGCCTTGTTCTGAACAAACCTGTCCTGACTGTTAAGCTCATATTTTTGTTCCTTCTTTTTTTCTAACAACTGATGAGGAAAAAGTTCTCATGCTTTGGTCAAGGAAGCCTGCTCCAAGTGTTTTCATTAAAATCTAAGTTGAAACCTTAGTTACAACTCAGAGATTTTCAATTGCTCCATATTGAAAAATACCAAATATTAAAATGAAGACGTCTGTTAATAGGTGACCTAGAAGACCACAGGCTGGTGTGTAGCACTTACCTTTCTCAGAAAGAATTTCGGGGGCTACATAAGTTGGAGTTCCACACACAGTAAATATAGGTCTCACCACACGTTTGGCAAGGCCAAAATCAGCTAGTTTCAAAGTGGTAGATTTGTCCTCATTTAGCTGAACCTGCAAGCAAAATTTCCAAACCGTCAAAGCTGTGATGAGAACAAACAAGGAACACTAATAAGACAACAAGCATGCAGACTCAAGCTAAAAAACAATAAGCCTGAAGCAGCTTACAGTTTAGCCCAATGCTGACAAATCCAATGACTTCAGCGATAACTACTCACGGGGTCAATGAAACAACCAAACTTAGACTTACTGTGCCATTCGTATTGTCACAGGGAGCCTTTTAAGTTTATTAATTAAAGTCAGTTTCCCTACTGTGCTAGGCACATGTCAAGCACATGTCAAGCACATGTTGAGCACAGTCAAGTGCTCAACAACCTCCTGTGACTTGTGGAAAGCAGTACACACACCTTTCTCCAGGGACTCTTCTTTCCTTGATCCTGCTTTGTTTTAATTAGAGCCGTATCAAACCAGCAGCTTAGCAAATGGAGCAGGGGTGCTTCAGCAGTGCAGGCCATGAACCCTGCACTGGTCTGTAACTAACCCCTAGTCAGAATATTGAAAAATGTCCTTTGGGTAGCACCGAGTCAGAACAAGGATCGGTGATGCTCTGAGCACAGACTGGCTTTGGTGAGAACTAGAAGATGCCTCTGGATAATGTAAAGGCTGGGTAGAAGCTGGGAAAGAAGGACAAAGAACTAGGAATGAGAATGAAGTACGCAAATAAAGCAGGAGAGGGATGCTAAACACAGGCCTAAGTGGGGGGCGGGGTAAAGAACGAAATGGGCAACTGAAGGTTTTAGACACATTTCTTTACCCAGCTGAGCCTCTGTTTCATTATTTGTTTAAAAAAGAGGATGGGAGGGGGTGTGATAACTTTCAGCAAATAAGCTTGTGCCAGGAGTTCCATTCAATGTCTGTAGTCTACCTAGAAAAGTGCCACCCAGTGACCAATAGTCTCAGTTTGCCTAGGACTTGCACTAGGCTCTAGAGAAGGGTGGACTTAGTCATTTTTTACAATAGAGAAAAGAAATCGCTACCCACACACCGAATAAATAGAGTCTTAACTCATGCCCCCTTGGTACCCTCAAACTTATCCCACATGAGTCTCATTCCCTTGAACAAGTCCAGGCGGTTGCCTTTTGAATCTCTGCTAAACCAGTTCCCACTGCCAAGTGAAGGGCAGACCCTTCATTCAGCCTCAAGGTATTTGCATATAAGATGAGGATTATTAGGAAATGTTGGGTCTTAAACTGAAAGAAACATATCTCAAGAGGTAAGTGTAACCAGTATGTATGTCACTGTGCAAGAAATAACAAAACTAAAAGTACGCTATATTTCCTGTGGGAAGAAAGAAAGGAAAGGAAGAATGAATGGGAGGACAAACCTGTCACATCTTACTGCAAGTTCAGGATGCACTGGGACCACCACACCATGGGAGCAGTTTCTGCCTTGAGGAAAACTCTGGCCTCCTTCAATACTAGTTTGCACCTCTCAAGTAGGATGAAATAACAATTGTCCCATATCTCATCATAGAAGCTGAATGCTGGACCAAAGGTGAGCTAAACAGCTAATCAGACTGCTATGTGAGAACCTACTGGAATAAATGTAGGCAATTTTAGCCAAGTAAGAGATTCACTGGTGCCACCAGAGCTGTAACAAAAATTATCAACTTGTCTGTAGGCACACACTCTCACATATCTCCTGGAAGTGAGCCAAACATTCCCAACACTGCTCCAGCACTTAGGAGTGGGAAGGCAATGGGGGAACTCTGGTTCTCTCTGTGCCCCATGAGCTAGTGGCCACATCCAGCAATGCAAGGTGAAAGAGCCATCTCTCAATCTCTCCCGACAAGAGTAACTTCCCTGCGTTTACTTTAGTTCCCGCCAAGAAACTAACACCTATATAAGGAGCATGTGTCTTAACTACTGAAGCTCAGTCACCACTTCACAATCTAATCAATGCCTCCACTATTAACCTAACTAGGTGGAAAGTCATAGATTTGCACTAAAATACAATTCTGCTTGAACTGCATATAAAGACATGGCCCACAAGGGACAACAGAATAATCTAGGTTAGAAAATCTAGCTTGGAAGGGAAGGAAAACAAAATAGTATGGTGCCTACAATTACCAGATGGATTGTCTCCATTAATCACATTTGCTGGGTAATTGCTTGAAAAAAAAATATGTCCCTCAAAAACATTTGTAAATATTCCCACCCAAATAACCAGCATCGAGAGCATTTGACCAACTGAATCCAGCAAAATAAGATGTGTGTTCCTATCACAAAGCAACCGAAACACTCCACTCCTTGTGGAAACTTTCGATTTCAAAACCTGGCTATGGTGAGCCAGGAGTAGCAGGTGAAATGTTTTGGAAACTCAGGATTTTCTCTTGAAAACTGATTATGTGAAATGCCCAGATGGTGATGGATACATTTTGAAAATGCCAAATCTGTTTTTAAGTTCTTTTATGGGCCTTTCTAACATTTATTATGCCTCCTCTTGTTCAGCTTTTCCCTTTGAGTCTCGGGACCACCCTGGGGCATCAGCCACCACATGAGTAGGGCCCCAGGGGGTCAAGATCAGTGGTGGGTTTGTCTCTTCCAAGAAGTGTTCTTAATTCTCCTGCCTCCAGCCTCTGTCACAGGAATTATTTAATACTCTTCAGTGCTGCCATTTGTTTCACCTACACACGCAGCTTCGTTTCATTTAAGGTCTCACTCTGCCTGTGAGTTGTTTGGGTTGGTTTTGCCTTGCATCGCCCATTCTTGGCTTCAGAACACTTCCTGTTTTAATCCTTGAAATTAAGTGAGTAATTTACTCCTGGAACAATTCTTCATCCTGGATTCTATGGGATGTCAGAGACCATCAAATTCAAACTTCTGCCCAAACAGGAAATGTATCTAAAACAGCTTTCTACAAGACCGTTGTTCAACTCCAACTGAAACCTCAAGATGGAAGCCTCCATGACAACTTTATGGAGTTCCTCCCATTTACAGCTAGCTTAACCTGTGAGATTTCACCCATGCTGGTTCAGAATCCCACACTGTCCTTGTTTTCTAACTCTTGTTTGGGGGGTGACATTGAATAAGGACACATCCCTTCCAAAGATGGGAAACAAGTACCATGTTGCCCCAGCTTGCCCTGGTAGCTAAACCTCGTAGGACCTGATTTCCTGGCCTATCAACTCTCTCTTTTTTCTCTTTACTCTGAGCATGGCCCCAGGACAAGGACCATCAACATCATTTAGGAGCTTCTCCACTCCCCCAGACCCACTGAACCAAAATTAGTTCTTCTGTAAGATGCCCAAGGGATCCACGATATGAACAGTAAGTTTTGGATAAATGATCCCATGCCATCAATGCCTGTTTTCATCCAAATGCCCAGAGCAGAATATCACACACCAGGTATTATTCAATCAGGGCAGTGAGGAGTCTCAGGACTCTCAGCTGACATGGCACTAGGTGGTCATCAAGGCAGTCAAAAGACCCCTCTAAATGCCACACTTCAGTGCCCTTACCTCAGAAAGCCATCCAGGCTTTACCAGATTTGGTGGAACTCCTTTGCACACCTCTCACCTTGCCCTCACCCCACCTTCTGGTTTATCTAAACTCACTGTTCTGGGTCATGTTCCTCCTCGGCTCGGGTTTCAGTCCCTCTAACTGAAAGAGTGCCAGAGATTGCTTTACTCAGCTTTGTAATGAAGGTTATTTGTCTATCTCTATCTCCTCCTTTCCAGCCATACTAAAATGTCTTACTTTGAATCCAGATTATTTACATAATTCTCAAGAGGAATTTTTCTAAATGTTTAGGCTCTACTCTGTCCTTCAACAGTGCATCAGTGTAAATGTGATCTTACAACTTTTCATCTCTGAACAGATGATGGCAGCAAAGTATAATCAAAGAGAAAGTGCTACCCTAAAAACTAAGACCTTGGTAAAATTTATTTAGTTTTTGCTAACTTCTTAGCTGATCCTTCACGGTTCTTTGGACCTTTTCCTTTTAAGGTCCATTGTCAACTGGCCATAAGGACTGAGACAATCTTAGAAAACAAGTTACTTTAAAATGACAGTGCCTAAAATCAACTTACATTTAAATAGTAAAAAATAATGTAATTTTTTAAGCTATTAAAAAAAGTCAGTGAGGATAAAGTGCTTCCTGTGACCTATCCCAGGACTCAACTCTAACAGGTTTTTGATGACTATATATCACACCAGCTTTTTTCTACTGCATTAACACCTCACATCCATTTAACAAATATTAGATACTCATTAGGTGCCCAGCACTGTTCCTAGTATGGGAAATACAGCAATGAATGAAACAAACGCCTTGATGCTTTGAAGGCTCTTTCCTATTTATAAGCAATATTCAAATGTATAGGTTAATGCCAGGCAGTGGTAAGTGCAAAGAAAAAGTAAAAATGAGACAAAGGCTTTTTTGTCTAGCCTGGGTCCTCATAAGGCTACTGGGCATTGGATTTCAGCAATAATATTAAATAGATACTGAATATTTCATTTCCATCATCACAGAAAGTTCTGCGGGACAGTACAGACACAGACGGTAGCAGGGGTTAAGGAAGGACTCCCAGAAGAAGTAACACTTGAAAGAAGTTGGAATAAGCCTCATTAAGATCTGAGCAGCAAGGTTTCAGGCGGCAGAAACAGCAAGCGCCAGGGCCCAGGACTCCGGGCAACCTAAGGTACTGCAGCAGGCAGGGGCACAGCAGAGTTAATGACAGGGCGAGTGGTTGAAGAGAATCACAGAGGCCACATTTATTTCCTTCTAGGCCACGGAAATAAGCTTTACATTTATTCCAACTGTGGCAAGGAGTCAGGGGCAGGAAGCCAGGGGCAGTTCTGAGCATGAAAGTCACTAAGATGCACCTTTTTAAACCCAATGTCTGGTTTAGAGGCGGCCAGTCCCACTGATGAAGGAATGAACACTGGACTGTAGGTGTTTCCTGGGCCAAATCTGATACTGTCGTACTTTACAACATACTTCACATCACCCTCTTCCACTCACAGAGTTCCCAAAGCCACAGAAGGGGTCCATCA